GAAAGAAGAAAGAAAGAAAGAAAGAAAGAAAGAAAGAAAGAAAGAAAGAAAGAAAGATAGATCACCACACAGTCATGGAATTCAATCTATTTCTAGTCCCCAATTAAATTATGAATCACATTTGTCCAGTTTTGAAGTTGCATCAAAAGCCACTTTTTAAGTATTTTGCCATTCTATCTTTATCAAGCAAAATCAAACCACAGCTAATCTGAAAAGTTTTTCTGTTTTGCTTTAGAAGAAAGCAAAGAAAAAAAAAAAAGATCGGTTTCTATGTGACCCCTGACCTTTGAACCACAACCTCCCTGCCACTAAAGCGTTCAGCACCTCATTTAATCTCCCCTCTCTACACTGGTATAGTGCTTAAAAAAAGGAAACAGAAAACATAATCTGGGGACTTCATCAATTTTTCATGAATTTTCATTTAGGCCAGAACCCCCTCTTACCCTGGTCGATAGATCAAGCTGCTGTCATATATTTACCACCTGGGGCTACGGCAGCTATCTCTAGGGGCTGCCACTGACTCAGGCTGTATCAGAGGCTGCCACAAACTGTGGAGGGACCCTGTGCTCTTTCTGCTCCAAACACAGGGAGACCTGGTGTTCAAATTGAAATCCTATCTGCATCAGCTCCACCTCTGCCCTCTTGGTGGTCTCATCGGAAGAGTGCATATTAACTTCTTCAGTGCCAGGTGCTTTGCTAATAAGGACCCTGCAATTCTGTTTTCTAAATATGTAAAAATTGCTTTCACCTAAAGACCTTTCTTGAGTTCAAGGGATTTGAAAAACACTTTCTGGATCACTCTTTTTTTTATTTTTTCAAACCGAGAGGGAGAAAGCAAATATGAAGTGAGTGATTCAACTCTCCTTATCAGTGACTGTTCTTGAATATTTTTTCCCTCCACTATCTTATGCGGTTATATAAAACTGAAGTTTGTATTAAAGGAAAACAAAAAGAGAACATATACAGTAAGGTGAAGAACAGTCTGACTTCTTTCTATACAACCTGTCAAGACAGATGGTTATCAGTACAATTGCACATTTCATCTGACAGCAGAAACCAAGATTTTTTAAAGTAAAAATGAAAACCAAGGTGAAGCAAGGAGAGCCCCAAAACATCCATATTTTTCATCAATAATCATTTCACAATAAAAGTTGTAACAAATGTGTTTGCTACTTATCCTTACACTCTTAATCACCTAGATACCAGAGATTAGTAATTCTCAACTGATTTTGACCTCCCTGGGGGACATTTGGCAGTGTGCAGAGATATTTTTAGTTGTCACAGCTCTGGTTGGGGGTCTTATTGGCAGCTCGTGGGCAAAGGCCAGAGATGCTGCTAAACATCTTACAATGCGGAGCACAGCCCCACAACAAAGAGATATCTGACCCCAAATGGCAATTGTACAGAGGCTGGATAGCTTGCTCTAGTTGCCTCACACTGCATTCAGTGAGGAACTAAATTCTTGGAAGAACAGACGCATTTGCCACTCCAATTCCACCACCTACTCATTTTTCAGCTGCCATGTTCTCTCCACTCCTGGAGTCCACAGGGTACTTTTTATTTAATCATTATGTGGCATTTGCATTACAGAACATTTTTTTTTTCTTAAAGTTATTTCCTTGTTCATCAGGTCACTTCACTCTCCATAGGCCATCACTGTGACACCTCAGAGCCCCCTAACCAGTACTTCTTTCCTTCACCCTCCATTACATACTGGGGTTCCAAGCAAAATGAATGATCTCAGCCCTTCTTAACTACTCCCTGCAGCCTCCCTGGGCAGTCATGTCCACTTTTTTCATCTACTCCCATCACTTTACCCTTCATGCGGTAAAAATCTCTCTTCTCAGTTCTAGAAGTTCCCTTTTTAATGGAACATGAGATATTTTTACCTTAATGTTTCATTGGCATATTAAATAATACAGCCAAAACTGACTTCACTCTTCTGTTCCCATTACATTTATTTCTCCTACACCTGCCATCACTATGGATGTAGCAGTATATACTTAGGCTCTCAGTGGGAAAAAAATAAACAAACAAATCAACAACAAAAAACACTGAGAATAATCTATTATCCTCTAAATCCCTAAACTGATCATAAAGTGATATGATTTATAATTTCTAAAGCTGATTCAAGCTATTTTCTTCTTTCAATCTTTGCTGCTAGTTTCAGTACAAAATCTAATATTTACTATTTTCTGAACCCTTTGACAGCCTCTTAACTCTTCTCTGACTTCAATCATCATCCTCTTAACCTAATCTTCAATTCTCTTTCAAAGAGAATATACATAACAAAAAAATCTACTTTTCCAACTTATGCTGCTCACCAACCTATATAAAGCTACCTGCAGTTCTCCAAATACACAGCGTTGCTAGGCTTCCATTCTTTCCTTTACTGGATAAAACAGTGATGTGTTATGATTGAACATTTATTGTTGAACATTCTAAATTACGAAAGCCAAACTCTGACTTAATCTATAGTTATTCTTCTATCATTTTATAAAAAAATATACTTTGGTAACAAATAATACTGCAAAAGCACAATGCTTTGGACCAAATTTCCATATTAATACATTTTATGAAACACATAAGGAAAGAGAGATGACTGATGATCTAATGTGAAAGAGATGAGAAGCATATAAATGGGTATTATTGGATCTTGTGTTGCCTCAAATGGCATGAACTGTTGACACGGCATTAGAAGAAAGAATTTTATTCACTAGCTAAATCCAATTTAGCAGCTTTCTTGTTTCCCTCTCTAGGTCAAAAGTATTTTTAGCATTTCTCAAAGCTCATTGATTTAAAAATAAAAAGTGCTACTGTCACAGTACACAAGAAAAAAATCATGACTTAAAATTTTCCTCCTAAAACAGTTTGATTCATTATTAATGATGCAATTAGGAAAGAGGACAATCTGTAGGTTAAATAAAAATACAAGATGTATGTGTGCTGGAAGGAATTTTTAAAAAGCTAAGTTTTAAGGAAAAAGATGTTTATAGCTGCCCAATAACAAAATGACTGGCCAATTTAGATAAATAGTAAGAAGAAAAGTTAGTTGATAATTAAAAACAGATATTTGCCTCTGAGTAGATAACATTAAAATTTTTTTCAATTAAAAAATTGTAATTGTTATTTATGTAATAGGCCAAATATCATTTAGAGTGTTTTCCCGAATTTGGCATAATTCCTTAAAACTAAAAATTAGAAGAATCAGGATCTGGTCTTCAAAATCCCACTAACTTATTGCCTGAGTTTTCATCACTTAATTATCATGGGTTTCTATAAAATGGGAGAATAATGCTTGTTATATTTACTATAAAGGGATTTGATGGGGAAAGAAAAATCAGGGAATTTGACTTTGAAATATTTCAATATGTTTGAAATTTACCAGGAATAAGACATTTCAAAATAAAAATAGATTTGGGAATATTTATTCTGGAGGTTTTGTGTGTATTTCAAATCTCACTAAACTGTACTTAATTAAACAGCGTCTTGAATGAAGTTATAAAAATGAAATTACCCAGTGCCCTGTGCAAAAATTGCATTGCTAGCTAAGGTCCTAATGCTCCTATCTCAAAGTACTTCAGAAAACAAATTTGGGTTTTAGGATTCTTCTAGTTTTTTTTCCTGTTAGATGTACACATTTCAAGCATTAGCGGGTTTTAGATTTCCTAGTACAAACTGTAAAGACAGGACACTTGAGAACAAAAGATTTCATTGAGGTAGCTGCAGAAGAACTAGTATAACTTTGGTTACTAAGAGATGTTTTCCTATTTAAAGTTGATAAATTGTTGAGAATTGCAAAACACACATACACAAGTTTTATAATGGAGTGTGATATCATGTAGCCTGTGAGTACAAGTAGTACCAAGTTTCACTACAGACATGAGACCATGAGCTATTATTTAGCACTCCCTTCTAGCCATATAAACAAGACTTATGCACCTTGAAATAACTCAAATTTCTTATCTGTGAAGACATACTGTACAACCAGAAAGTTGAAAAGTATAAACTTTTTTATGCCCAATTGTTGCCATCTTATTAATGATAAATTCCAGATAAAAATCTTTCTGCAGAATAAATAATGTCAACTTTTTATGATACCATTTAAATTATGACACTAAATATCTATAAACCAAAAAATCTATCATATATTTTAATTTTTTCTGGAAAATGACGCATGAAGTTATGAAGTCAATATTCAAATAGATGCAAAGCATTGATATCTTGATTTACAAATGCTATCTGGATTATCTAATGAATAAATAAACATATTTTTCAAATGCCAATGGCAGGGCAAGCCCTTAACTACTGCTGATTACCAAGACTGGACAAAATGCTTCCATGTACGAATATTTTGTCTCTACAGAAATGATCTCTTCTCTGATGAATTTTACGGACAGAAAAAATAAATAAATATAGTTCCTGTATTCTCCCTTACATGCCTACAGTAAGGATTCCTGAATTCAGACTGGAAGTAAAAGAATTAATATATTCTAGAGAGTGTATTCTTTTTAAAGATGTTTAACAAAAATTATATTTAGAAATATATGTGTATAATATATATAACAGGTATATATAAATAACAGAAATAGATATAGCACTGAATTTATGCCTATATTTGATGCCATGTTACATGTAAACTTTTCATTTTAACATAGCTGACTTTAATAGCTTGATTATGTCTCTCATTAATAATTCAAATTTTATTTTATTTTTTTTAATAATTCAAATTTTAAACATGACCACATCATTGTCACTTTGCTTTAAGGTAAAAACATGATTTCCACCTTGCTTCAATATAATGAAATTTATTGCAATACCATGGCTTGACATTATTTTGACCAGCTTTCTTTGGAGAAGGCAAAGTAAAAAACTATGCATGGCATGTTGATTGTTTTCTTCTTTAGGTATTAAGCACCCATGGGGACAAATCAAAGCTTACTAAAAATAAATCAAAGTGAAAGTGCATGCTATTTCCGAGACTCATTATCTTTACTTACATGCCACTTCCAGAGATGCATTTCGACTTACTGCTTCACCGAGATAGTTCCTCGCAACACAGACGTAGCTTCCTTCATCGGGTTTGCTTCTGCGCCCATGAACAATGCGCAAGAAAAATAAGGATCCGCTGGGCAGAAGCATCCTGTGAGACCGGGGATCATCCTTGTCAGTCTCCACCCGCTCGCCATCCTTGTACCACTCAATGGTGGGCGTTGGCCGGCCCTCTGCCTTACAGTTCAAGGTGGTGGGCTCTCCCTTAGAGACAATGACATCTGAAGGGTGCTCCACAATCCGCGGAGGGAAGTCTTCTTGGCGAAGACGAGATCCTACAAAACAGGAGAGAATGAAGACAAGTGTTAACATTTTCCCATCTATAGCTTGTGTCTCTCTTGGGTTCACACTGGTGAAATTAAACTCTTCAATTATTCAAAATGCACTTATTACTATTTTATTTATGTTCCATACTTTTGTTCTTGATGCATCTCCTAAGTCATCCCAACTCCTTTGTGGAATAATATAGCAATAAATTATTATGTTAATTCTAATGAGTCAGGTTTAAATGTCCCATGAATCATGGCAAGGAAGAGTAAGAGAGTAAAAAATTTTCTTTTGGGTAGTAAGATGAGGAATATTAATCTCCTGTCCTCCAAGTGATTACTATCTACTGGGGAACAAAGCCAAGTGGGCAAGTACCCAGTATACACAGTCTGGTGTATCATGCTGGCATGGTGTCATCAGACTTAATATAAAAATAGACCCACACAATGTGTACAAATATTAACTCAATTTAACAGATGAGGGCAGCCCGGGTGGCTCAGTGGTTTAGCACCACCTTCAGCCCAGGGCCTGATGCTGGAGGCCCAGGATCGAGTCCCACATCAGACTCTCTGCATGGAGCCTGCTTCTCCCTCTGCCTGTGTCTCTGCCTCTCTCTCTCTCTCTCTCTCTCTCTCTCTCTCTCTCTGTGTGTGTCTCTCATGAATGAGTAAATAAAATCTTAAAAAAAAAAAAAAAAACAGATGAGGAAGCACGTTAGGAAACGGCATCAATTGCCCAGAAATCTAGAAGAAATAAGCAGGTAAGGCAGGTTTTGAACCCAGGGACACCTGGCTGAGGAATTCAAGTATAAATCATTATCTTAAAATAAAATAAGTGTTGTATGGAGATCCAAGAAATGCCTTATGGGAATAAAGTGGGGAAAAAAATGTTAACTGTAACTAAAGTGTAATGAGGCCTCCCCTGAAAAGGCATCATTTAAATTGAGAGATAAAGAATAAAACTATGTGGAGGGGAAAAAGACATTCAAATTGAAGAAACAACATGAGACCATTGGAGTATGTGCACAATACATTTCATAATCAGGGAGGAAGCTGATATGGCAGGTGGAGGTGAGAGCTAGTCTTAGGAACCCAGACAATCAGGCTTTCAATACCATGCTAGGGATTGTGATCTTCATTCTACATGGCTAACAGATTTTGAGAGAACAGTGACATGACTATCTGTGTGTCAGAAAGGTATTTTTGGTGTGCAGTGTAAAAGATAAAGAGCAATAGAGGCAAAAGGACAGTTGAAAGTTACTTCATGATTCCAGGGAACAATAAAAGGAACCTGACTTTGAGAAGTGATGCTGGTAGGAGAAAAAAAAAAAGAAGAAGAAGAAGAAAGAAAGAAAGATACAAGGCATGTCTTAAAATAGCTCTTGACAGAATTTGGTATATCACCATATAGTAAGGAAGGGTGATGGGCACCAATGACTTCCTTGTGAGTGCAATGAAAGTGGGACCATTTGGGATGCCTGGGCGGTTCAGTGGTTGAGCATCTGCCTTTGGCTCAGGGTGTGATCCTGGAGTCCTGGAATTGAGTCCCACATCCAGCTTCCTGCATGGAGCCTGCTTCTGCCTCTGCTTATGTCTCTGCCTCTTTCTCTGTGTCTCTCATGAATAAATAAATAAAATCTTAAAAAAAAAAAAAAGTGGGGCCATTAAGGGGTAGAAAAAAACAGGAAGGAAGGACCTATTGGTATTTTAAGATGAAAAATTTGCATAATATGTTCTTTTGAATACTTTCAGCTAAGGTGTAACCGGCCATTATTTGTGAAAGGGTCTTAGCAGCTCCGACACATAAATCTCAAAGACTTGGAGAGAGAAATAACCATGTCTGAGGACATGATGATAGTCTAGACATAGCTTTCACATTTTCCAACCAATCATCTAATATAATCACATTTCAGCTCAATAAATAGAAATAATATTTACTCCTCAATGTTATTCCACTTTATTTTCACTATTAATTAAAAACACGGATTTTAATTTAATAAAGGGCATTTAATTTGGTAGTGAATGAACCTTTTCTTTTCTGAGGAAGATTAATTTTAAAGGTTGCTGAATACCATTTGTTGTCTTATCAGAGCTAAGAAGGAGCTTACACATTACAAGTGCTGGTTATCTAAAGCCAAAGAGTACACAGGTCAGATATTTTTTTCAATGCACTAAAGAAACCCAAAGCATTAAAATATGGACAGATAATCACATTGTATACCATAAGAATAAAGAAGGTTATATATTGAAAGTACTGGGTCCCTAAAGCAAATGATGAACTTAATATAAAAATTAAGATTTATTTTTAAAAGAAATGATAGGAAAATACCTCAAAGTTTTTAAAAGTGAATGGCTAATCACAGTTTGCAAATCAGTGACATACTGCCAAGTATAAAGGTCTGGACTCAGAAACAAATGGAACAAAAGTTAATCTCACGTTTCACGTAGCAGGCATATAGTCTACAATCACCTTGTTTAGCTACCTTCCTCGTTCTTCTCTGGTTTCCCACATGCACTTATCTACAGCTCCCCTATGTCAAAGTTGTTCTATTATTAAAACTAAGCAAGTCAATCATCCATGTTATTAGAGTGCTATTTACTTTATCAAATAGTTCCCCACTTTATTAGGCAGTTAGCTTAGAGAAGTCCTGCAGAGGACCTGAAATATATGCATACTTGTTAAATAAATATAAAATAATTGGCTTATAAAAGGAAAAAAGGCAAAATATCCAAATTGCTTAGCGATAAGATATCGAATCCAGTATGTCCAGAATTTTACCCATTTATCACTATAACATATGTAAACCTATTCTAATGTTGTCACATTCGGAAATCCTTTTAGTCATTTTATTCCTACTGTTACAAAAACTTCAAAAGGTCATCTACAATCTAAGAGGTAAAATTATGATTAGAATTTTGATGATCTTGAGTTAAGCAATATGTTTTTGGGCACCAAAAGCACATGCCACGAATGAAACAATTAATGAATTGGTTTCATTGGACTTAAATATTTGTTCTTAGAAAAAAAATCAAAAGAATGAAAAGACAATCCACAAAATCAGAAAAAAATACTTGTAAGTCATATATCTAATAGGGGTCTTATACCTGGAATACATAAAGAACTTTTATAGCTCAATAAAAATAGAAATAACCAAATTCTAAAATGAGCAAAGAATTTGAACAGATATCTATGCAAAAAACCCAGACAAATGGCCAGTAAGCATGTGAAAAGATTCTTGACATCATTAGTTATTAAGGAAATACAAATCAAAATCTCAGTGAGATACATTTCATACCCAGAAGAATGACAATAATCAAAAAAAGGTAAAATGACAAGTATTTTCAGGGATGTGGAAAATTTGAGAGCCTCATATATTGTTGGTGGGAGTGTAAAATGGTACAGGTGCAAGTAGCACTTTGGAAAATACTCTCAATTTTCTTGAAAAGTTTTGGAATTAACATATGACCCAGCAATTCAACCCTTAGTTATATATATATTGAAGAGAAAGTGTTACAGCAACACAAAAACCTGTACCTGAATGTAATGTTCATAACACCATTATTCATTATTCATAATAACAAAAAAAAGTTAAAGAACCCAAAAATCCAACTGCTAAACAAATGAATATATGCTATATATCCACATAATGAAATATTATTCAGCAATTAGGAAAAAAAATGAAGTCTTTATCCCCACTACAACATGGATGAACCCTGAAAACCCTATACTACGTGGAAGAGGCTAATCACAAAAGATCACATATTATATACCATTTATATGTCCAAAAGACAATCCATAGAGACAAAATGTAGGTTTTCCATTATCTAAGGTGGGGGATAGGGATCAGATATGACGGGATTATAGAGTATGTTTTGAAGATGATGAAAATATCCTAAAATTGATTATGGTTGCACAAGTCCATGAATATAATAAAAAATATGATATTGCACACTTTAAATGGGTGAACTGTGTAGCATATGAATTATATCTCAATAAAGCAAAAAATTATGGGTATGACACTGTGAACAAGTCTAATATAAGGAATAAGAATTTGTGTTCACTCATACCAACAGCTAGGTTATTTTCTTCATTTACATCTTGGTTTTAAATATAATCATCAGGTCAGCAATAGCCAATAGAGCATTAAGTAGAGCTGAAATGTCACACTAGATAGATAGATGATAGATAGATAGATGATAGATAGATAGATAGATAGATAGATAGATAGATAGATAGATAAACAGAGATAGACATGGAGATATACAGAAATACATCTAAATTTTAAGATATTATTAAAAGTGATGAGATTAATTCTGAATTCCCTTAAATTCACACATTACACAATATAGCAGTGACCTTAAGATGGATAAGCTTTAGGTAGGTTATGAATTCTTTAAAATGGCATAAAAATAGGTATTCTTGTGTGGGCAGGACAGGAAAATGGTGAGGGGATCAGAGCCTTCATCAAATTTGCAAAGAGGTCTGAGCATTTAAAATTAGGAAGGACCACTAAAGTACTAGGCATTCCACATAATTGTGGGTTGCCAAGCAACCCCATTATTCGTTAAAAAACAACAACAACAAAAACAAAAGACAGCTGAACTGTCAGCTAAACACATTGGCAATTCAGAACTGAACAGTAGAGGGGGCAGTATATTACACGAAGTACCCTGAAACTATTTAACCAACACCTTTGACATCCAAAAGCATATTGGAACTACAGGACCAACCAGTCCAACTCCAGATAAACACAATCAAAATCTGCATTTTAACAAGACCCACCCCCACCCCTTACCTCCACCCTGCCCCCAGGGATGTCTATGCACATAAAGTTTGAGAAGCATCACTTCAACCAGTTTTGTATGGCCCTCAGTTAAGAAAGTTTTTACATTTTTAGTGTTGTTAGAGGACTGAGGAGGAAGGAGGAAAAATTTAAAAGGAGAAGGTGGAGTAGGAAAGAGATCTTATGTGGTAGAAATGCTAGAAATATCTGCTGATGCTTTACAGA